TTTTATGTGCCACACTATATCTTTAAAAACATGCCGTTCCTGAATTTCAAGGAGCCTCAGGCGAAAGAAAAAAAAATGGTCCTCTTTATTTATATATTTTTTATAAATAATTAAAAATATATATTTTTTTAATATTTTATATTTTATTTATTTATTTAGAAATATCTAATTATTAATCTTAATATTCATTACTATTATACACACATTTACTATTATGTTCCCAAAAGGCCCTTAAAACTTTTTAACCTTGGACGTATTCCTTGAAAGTAATGTTTAACAGTGTACACCTTTAGTTCAAAACTTCTAGTAAACTCAAATAACTTTAAAAGTATCTCAACATTCTATATGGTTTGTATTCAATAATCATTTAAAAAAAATTTATTGAAAAATAAAAATTTTATTCAAAAAGTAAAAAAAGTAAAAAAGTATATAATTGAGGTATTTTTGAAAATTTAATTACAAATTAAAGAGAATGAAAAGACCGGGTAATAAAGTAAGTGATATTTATTAAAAATAAATGTTGAATAAATTGATAATTAAATATTGATTTTTTTTACTTTTCCAAATATAGTAATAAATTAAATTTAAGGGGCCGAAAAATTTGGCAAGACAAATTTGGTGGACCGGGGGTAATACAGTGTACATTTCAAATACTTCTATAAATGTAATGTGATCCAAATAATGGCATAAATTGGAAATAATATATTGCAAATTCAATGATGCAAATTCAAATACTTTAAGAATACGTTTCTATTTTATTTCGAATCCTCCAAGGATGTGGTCATGAAACCAGATCTGTGTGAGGAAAAGCTTTGCTAATCTTGTTCCATTTCTGTTCATGAAACCAGAAACCCTAAGGTCGTCGCTAACGCCGTTGAAAGAATTCTCCTGTCTAGTTTTTATGACACATACATTGGTGAACGTTGAGAAATTTGCTCTCTATGAGGACCTCAAGCAAGCCGTAGCATCAAATGTTCCGACAGCCAAAAAATTGGCAGCACATGTGAAGCGTGTTCGAGAAGATGAGGTTATGGAAAAGGGGTACAAGGAAACCCTTTATATATTCCATGTTACGAAAAAAGGGTTTCGATTTGATGACAATGGAAGAGGTGGATCCAGCAGCAAGAAAGGACTTGGTGGAGACTGCAGTCATGAAGCTGCTAGTATTTGGATTCTGATGATTGTTTTCAGGGGACCCCATCCTGAGCAGCCGACGAATCAGGAAGAACATAGCCATGTCTGTAAGTGTAATGCTCATTGTTCCGGGAAAGGTATATAAGGAACATGTGGTGAATCACAACACTGAGAAAGAAAGGGAACTTAGCGTCGCAAGGAGCCAGAGATAAACTTTGTATTGCAAGTGAACTTGGTTAAATGTACATATGAGGGTGGATGTCATTTTATAGGTCAACCACTCCATCGATAGTATTCTAGAACATCCGAGAATGTACAGCTAGTTATGCATTTTGTACAACTATCTATAATGTTCCATAGTCTTCTGAAGTATATTCCGAAGCATATTCCAAAGTATATTCCGCCATGTTCTAGAAGGATTCCCGAATATTCTTAGTCTAGAGCCTTCTTCAAAATTTGAGTGAATTCACATGTATGCCCCCAGAAGGTTCTAGATAACCATAAACTGCCATCTCGGACCGCCTCCGTCCATGACAACCGGTGCGTAGCTAGTGGGCCAAGAGCCTAAGGGTATTGGGCCCTCCCTAATTATTTTAGTTTTGTATGTTTATTATATAGTATTTGTATAATTTTTAAAATTTAATGTGTTTGTTTGTGGGTTTTAAGTTTTTGGTTTGGATTTTTGAATACTAAAAAGTTGAATTTGAATAGTTATTTGATGTAATATAAACTGAGGTTGATGTGATATTTTGAATGTAAAATAAATTTGTAGTATAATATAAAAAAAGAAAAATAATTGTTTGATGTGATATTTTTTGGAATGAAAAAAATTTGAATAGTAAAAAGTGTGCTAAAACCCACAAAAAACACAACCTAAGTAATTGGTTACCTCTATAGATTTAATAAAAATATTATTATTGCATATATTTAATTTAAACACTAAAAAAATTTGGTTCAAACACTCCAAATATTTAAAAATGTTTGAAAAAATAAATGGTGGAGATCGTGTTCTGAATTAAAAAATTCAGTCCCTATGGATAATAATTAAAAATCTGTTTATTCTAACTATATTAATATAATTATATAAATTAATATAAAAAACTTTTTAAAGCATTCAACACCTATGCTGAATTGTTTTTCAGCATATGATCCATGGCCACAAAATAAAATGAGAGAAAACCAAGAAAAAAATTGTTTGTAATTTTTTTAAATATTTAATTATATTATATAATTTTAAATTTATTATATATTATATATAAAACAAAATTTCAGCCCCACCAAATATTTTTTTTTTTTTTGACTCCACCTTTGATGACAACCCAGCTTCAGCTAACCAACCATTTGACTTGAATGCTCGGAAGAAGTAGTGTCTCTAATAAGAAGTACGGTGGAGAGTGATTTGTCATCTACTATTTAACTCACCTATCGTTATTTAAAAATATCTTAAATATAATTATTCAACTCCTAACACCAATTCAGAGACGTTAAAGTACATTATTCAACAATTGTAACATATTTAGTTTCCATATGAATGGCAAGAATCCATTATTACTATTTGTGGATTGCATGACTGGTAAAATATGATTATGCTATCTTCTCTGTGATTGTACTGTCCATAAGCTTTGATTTCTACTTGTTTTGGTAGTCTTTTAAATCTTATGTGATACTATATACGATGGCGATTACTAATTTAATATGAATTATTGGATTAGCTCCGTGAGCATCTAACGGATGAGAAATTAACAAAGATAATATAGGCAAGTTAACATTATTTGTAGTGTACTACTACTGTGTTGATACGACATTGCTATTGATGTACGTGTTTAGTTGATGTTTTTAGAGTGACGGACAAACATAATATGTAATGTGTTATAAAAAATATTAATATCATGTTGATTGATATATACTAATGTATTGGCCGGATGTTGTCAAAATATTTTATCAAATAAATTATATGATTGACTACTTACAATATCAAAGCGACATGTGCATACACTTATATATATATATGTGTTGACTTGATGTTTTTATAGTGATAACCAAACAAAATATATGCCGGTCATTAAAATATTAAATTGTATTGAGTGATACATATAGCTAGCCTTATATTTTTAAGGTGAAGACGATTGGAATCCCAACCGATGTGATTCACTTTCCGAATGTACTACATTCATACATTCACTCATTGCATTGCATAGATGTAGTTAATTCATGCTCATTCATTGCTTTTCTTACTTGAATAGTTCGATAATTTATTTTAATTTTTTATGCATTCAAATATAATTTTGAACAAAATTTTATTTTTGTATTTTTTGTTACGCATATATGTCGTAACAAAAGTTCTTTGAAAGAATTTTACTTTTGTTTTGTATTTTTTGTTACTAACATATGTCGTAACAAAAATTTCTCTGACAGATTTATACTTTTGTTCCGCATTTTTTGTTACGGATATATATCACAAAAATATGATTTGATTCTTTTGTTACATACAAAAAAATGTAACAAATACAATTAGCAAAGGCTTATTTAAGACATTGACCGTCATTTATTTGTTACAATTTTTTCCCCAACAAAGACTTTTTGTACCACAATTTTTAGTAGCGGTTAATCTGTAACAAAGTACACAAAAGGTTATTTGACACGAAAATTAGATTTTTGTTTTTTGGCCGCTAAAAAAAATCAACTTTTTGGTAGTGAATTAAAGAAGCCTAAATGAAAATGATTGGTATAAATATGTATTATTATGATATTTTGAATATAAAATTAAATTTTACTTTAATATAAATAGATGTTTTATTTGATATTTTTTAAGAAAAAAAATTAAAATAGTAAAACCAAGTACAAAATCTTAAGTAAAGACAATCGTCGAGATACCTCTCGAATTGAAGAACTCATTTCAATAACTTAGAATTAATATACAAAAAAAAATCCCAATAAAATAATTTAAGATGGAAAACTAAAATGATGAGTTGATATGATGATATATATATCGTACATAACGAGAATTGTATACAATATCTAAACTGTATGGATTTTTTTTTTTTTTTTCCTTTCTATGTGTATATTTAATAAATAAATTTATTTTTATGAAAATCAAAGCAACTAAAATAGATATGACAAATGTTAAAATTAAATGATGAGTTTATAATAAATTGTTTGTTGCATTATGAAATACTTGTCTTAATTTTAAAATTCAGAATTTTTTTTGTAGTCAATCTCTTTTTCTATATATATATATATATATATTATAGATTTTTAAAATATTACAATGCTTAATTCTTAAAATTTAATATTCATGAAGAAATACATTTTTTAAAAAATGACTATTTTGAGGTGAATTGAATCCGCTACAAATACTCGTTCTTTGTGGCAAAAAGTTATTTGTGACGGTTTTGTTGCAGATTTTGGTCTGTACGTTTACTCAAGTAACAAAAAGTTTGTATCGTCATAGATGTTGTAACGAAAGACGAGTGGTCAACACCTGTGTGAGGACTTTTTGTTATAATTTTGTTTACGCGACAAAAAGTCGAATTCTTTTCATAACAATTCATTTCCGTAACAAATAATGTGGTACAAACATTTTCTGGCAGGTACAATATATTTTTACATTGGTTTTTCTTACAGTTATTTGTTCATGAAAAAAATTGAAAGTCTGTTTGTAACGAGCGTAACAAATAATATGTTGCGAATATTTTCTGATATTAAAAAAAGATATTTTTGTAACGATTTCAGTAACAAATTATTTTTACAAAAAATTGATCATATGTTTGTTAAAATATCATTTTGTTACGACCTGAATAGACAATTGTAACAATTTTTGTAATAAACATATATTTTCTGACAATAAACGTACAACCTTTTTCTTCCTATATTCCCTACAAAATCCATCATAAAATCTATAATCTAAGGAATCCTAGAAAATTACACTTACAATTGTCCCAATTACGAACATAAGGACTACCTAAAAGGCAAACAAGCCAAAATTATATACTTATTGCGCAAAATGGTCTAGTAAGCGCTAGAGATGTCATAATGATACGCAAGCCTTGTTCAAAATAGAGTAAAAACAAGTAAAGCATCAGTCCAGGTTCAACACATAAACATGGGGTGTGGATGGTTGTGAAATGTCAAAAGTACGGAGGAGGAACTCGTGTGTGGCGCTGCAATGAATAAGTAGGATATATAAGTATTTAATTTTGAAATGAATAAATTACTAGAAAAAATAAACCTTCAGATATAAATTATATACATCTTTGTATGTCCACTCGATGGGATCGACATTGATTACCTCACCGAGGGTACGTGCTCTAGCAATTGTTGGCAGAATAATTGAGGTATCCGGAACCGTGGTAACCCTTGTAAAGACTTCAACTATTGCTAGCATATCACCTACATATATAGATAAAAAAGAAAAAAGAAAAAAAAACATATAATTTTGAATGTAATATATCATTTCAAGAAACAATTTACAAATAAAAAATAATAATAAGAGAAACCATTGATAGTATTTCACACATAACAAAGATGGTTGTATATGTTTCACAAATACCGGCAAAGGAGAAGAATTTTTCTTGACTTAACAAGTACTACAGATCAATAGTACGAAAGCATATACAACTACACGCTATACCAAAAAAAATTCATCAAATTTATATACATATCATCTACTAAATATGAATATAATTAACAATGTAATAAAACCGGAATAAAGCATTGCATTGTCCAATGGCAGTGATCAATCCTAAGCCTTTTTAAGAATAAATTATCTAGTAATAATCCAAGACTCACCTAAGTTTCAACTCTTTAGAATAATAATATTGAAATCACGACACATTTATGGAATATGCACAATTTAAATGAACATGCATTTACGAACACGTGCAATATCAATGACACCCAAGATCCACCAACAAGACTATTTAGGAAACACTATACAAAAACTAAAAGCACGGCATATAGGAGCACCAAATAACACTGCATTACGTGTAACATCCAAACACAGCCTATTGAACGAAAAAAATTCTCAATGAAACAAATTACGAACACAAAATTAAAACAATCCTAGAAAGCAAGCATGAATCAAACACACGAAACAAATGGTGACAAAATAAATTTAAGGCAGTAGATAAATATGTGTCAAGCCTCACAATTATATAAACAACCAAGTACACATTAAATATTATGCAAACACTTAAAAATTCATACCTATAATGTATTACTTTACCATAACAAACCTGGAAGAGGGGAGGACAACATGATCCCCTTAGCAACATTTTCTTCTAAGCCACGGGACATCAAAAGAACACGAGACCCGACCTACATCAAGTCTTTGCAACTATCAAGAACATTCTTATAGGCTAACAAAGTATAAGCAAAGTATAATGCTAATTTACTGAATTCAGATATTATGTTAATTAAAACCCCATTATATTTTTATGTTAACTAACCGTCAGTGGTTCGTGGACCTTGGTACCCGGTGTCTTTAACGCTCTTTGGGTGCGGATAGTTCCCTACAATGCATGGAGCAATTAATTGAGTCGCTAGTAGATTGGCGGGATACATGCCATATAATTTACATAGAGATATTGTTCCTTCCTTACCGGGGCTTGTACTGATTCTCCACCGGGAGAGTTCATCCAAGTAGACAACTCTGTATGCATGTTTCTAACCTCAACTATGACAGTCCTCAACTCAACTAGGCCCTTCTTACGTTCCTCTACAAGCTTTTGTACATCTTGACTATCGGTAATGGTCATTGATTGACTGTATGGGTGGGCAGAGCTGGCTGCATTGTCAATAGAGCTCAACCACTATAATTGTCAGATTGTCATGAACTTCAATTAACTCATTTAAAGACAATAAATGAGGAATGCATTGCATACATAAGTTATTAGTGAAAAGCAGACAATTAGTTCAAAATTCTGAAGATCATTCAACTAAAATTATTTTGAATCAAATTTGAATGTTTTCTAGCATTCTATCACATCCAAACATTCTAAGATTTTAACAAAGATGAATTGGTTGTGAAAAAATTATTAATCTCTAAAATGAATGTTATTTTAGCATACAGGTGTACTTTATTCTCATTATATAAATATAGATAAAGAGCATAAAACTTTCAAAAACACAAAAAAGATTTGAATCCATCCAGACAAAATCTAACATCTTAGAAATCATATTTTCAAATCCAAACACAAATTTAAACTTCAATTAATGCCGAAAACATAAAAGCTAATATCTCATCATTCAAAAAACAGAATAATAACTTTGAACTAATTCACAAAAAATACAGCATTGATTCCATTCTAGCCTTATTGGTATGAGAATAGCATCAAATTCAAGGATACTTATATATTTTGTTTACAGAGTCTTTCGTTTTCGGTAAGAAATGATAAATGACCAATTTTGAGTTTGTAACCCTAGATAAATACTCACCTCATCACTCCATGCCTGAGCTTTTAAGTTTTGAACAATCTGTGGCCACCATAACAACGTAACCTGCAAGTCGACATTCTGATTATTCAGTTTCCAATGGAAGATTAGTAATATGTATAGTCCACAGTCAACATACAACGGATATCAAAAGTTTATCAAAATTGGGAGATTTTCCTAATTAAACTGAACCATGAAAGAAACAGACGTAACACTATAAGCTCATCATAATAAACACTATAGCTTACTTTTTCCTTTGTAGTACCTTTAACCACTTCAATCAACGGCGGCCAGCACCTAGAAGTAGCCAAGAACTCAACAGCAGGCTCGTAGTAGGACAGGAGCCATACACAAAGGCAGGTTTCGTAGAGAAGCTGTTCTCAATATATGTGAAATGTTATCAAGTCACAGGAAGAAGATATACTCCAAAAAAGAGCAAGCTACTCAACTTTACGTGTAGAATGGAATGAATTACAGTGTGGTTGTTTTGTGAGATAATTTGAATGAATATTTTTTTTACGTAAGATATGGAGAATTGTGTAGTGAATATATAGAACAATCTTATTACAACAGAACAGTAACATGAAATATATACGACACAATCTTTAAGAAAAACTGTTGTCTATACTCTCAATATATTGGCCAATAAACAACAAAATAATGTAATAATTAAGTTATCTAATGTACATCCGGACAAAATGTGATTTAACTTAATTAAAACTATCGGTTCATTAGTATGGTCCCCATTATAGTACTCAAAGATTCAATCATTTCACATGAAAGTACTAAAATGCCGATTTTTTATTTTAGCATATTAATATATAAATTAAGTTGACCCTTATGAGTATTTTACTCTTTTCATGCTTACAAACTATCTACTATATATAAAATACTATAATTCCTTAATCAACATGCAAATAGTACAAATAGTTAATGTATCTACTGTTAGTAAATGGAGGGAGTATAACTTTACCTGCGATTCTATATTGTCGAGCATGCCGCCTTGAGCATCGACCAGCACAGCCAAGTCGATGAAGACCTGTGTTCAACAATGAAAGAAGGCAGAAAAGATAACTGCAATTTTCGGGTTTCCTGATCACAGAGGACTAACTATATATGAGAGTGGAGATAATTCCTAGCTGTACATGAATCTGTGCACTAGCAATAGGCTTCATAAATGATTTAATAAAGTTGTCGCTAATGTCATAAAAATTGAACTTCTTACAGAGAAACTAACAAAATGAAAATGAAAATATTCTAATCAGTTGATTGACAAACCTCTGGTTAATTTCAAATTTTAATTTCATCGATAGTCATGTATGCTTTACTTTATACATCCTATTAATAAAAGATGACGGCACAAATCTAGCATGGTTTCAAGTGTAGAGCAATGAAGTAAAAGAAAAATAGAAAAAATTAGGAAATATGGCTACACCTGCCCTCGGCCTTGTTCTCGAATAGCATTCTGGAAAATCTGCTCGCTATCGCCTGTTTTGATTAATTTATCAATTGTCTGTGGACTTATTATAGATAAGAATATTAATTATCCATGTATAGAAATAATTATTAGCTAAAACTTAAAAGGGAGATTGATATTCACCTCCTCAGCAGCTCGATTGCCCGCCATTGAATACAAAACAAGGAATATGTCAAATGATTAAGAGCAAAACAGCAGGTGCTCAATGAAGCCTTTTTGAAATATAATGTTAATACCTGTAAATGCACGCCTCTGGAAAACCTCACTATACTCTTGCTGTATATTCCCTCTTAAGGTCTGGTCTACAAATGAAAAGGGACATGAGAAATGTAGGAGATAATTAATTTGCATCCCCATTGTAGCAAAGCAAACAGCTAATCTACCTGAAAATGATCAAACATCCTGTCTTTGAACTTCTTCTTTAAAGCCCTGCATTCAAATGCATAAATTATTTTTACCAGATATATATGGAGAATAAAATGGGTACCAATGGTGCACAGATTGGATCATTGGGATTTTTTTAAGGTTGATCAGATTATTTAATAATTTGAATCAAGTTGTTAGGACAAAAAAAAATAAAATAAAAAACAATTCACAAACAAAAATGATCAATCAACTCATCAATCAATCTGTTTCCTTAAAAAAAATAAAAAAAAAAAAAAAAAAAAAACTTTCTCAATGCGTACCTCTATACTCAACCTCTACCGTGCAAGCACTGGCTCAAGTCGGCATTCTTGGGCTGGTGGATGATCTTCTCAAATATATCTTTAGTCTTCGCATGCTGAACCATCTCTTGAAGAATCTTGTCCTTGATCTTTGGCATTGGCTGCTTTGATATATCCTTCTCGTTCGAAGAAGAGCAGAAGACTAATTCTGATAGCCGCTCTTTCTCAGCTTGCCGGCAATATTTGTCCGCCTCAAGTGTTCCAGCAGTCATTAGATGGTAGGTATGGACAAACTTCTTTTGCCCAATCCTATAAGCCCGAGAAATCGCCTGCTGTTCGACTGAAGGATTCCAGACGACGTCCAACAGAATGACCCTGGGAAATCTATAGACATGTCGGACTTTGCAAGCAGGCCGCCGATTGCAATAATTTCTAATGGAAGCCCTTTAAACCTCTCCACAATCTTTCTTCCAAACTTACCCAATTTTGGGTATGGGAAATCTTCATTTGCGAAGATCGTCTAACAAAATAAATTCCAACTTTCATTCTTATCTAGAAAAGTCATCGGATAAAAGTTGTGAGAGCTCAAAGACCCAGCCACATTTGCAAGTTGAATAGTCATCATAACCCGACTTCTATTATTGTTATCAGGAAAACACATTCGTAAATCATCCCAAGCTTGCTCACTCCACACATCATCCATAACAATCAAATACGGTCTATTAAATAATTCTTTGTACAAAGCATCCCTTAATCTACCAGAATTTCCATCATGTGTTGTAACTTTTCCATCATTTAAAAGACCCGATAAGATGCCCTGAACAGTATACTCTTGTGATATTGTTAGCCAAATGCGTCTATCAATGCAATCAGAAATATGTTGTCTATCGAAAACAGCTTTAGCTAGAGTACTCTTACCAATACCGCCCATCCCCACAATAGGGATAATTTGGAGTGTCGGCTCATCTCTAGTCAGCAAATCCACAATTGCATCGACATGGCCATCAAATCCTACAATTGTATTCTTGCCATGGGATAGAGTAGTCAATGAAGTTACCTCAACCGAAGTGCCACCAAGCTCAAAAACTTTTGGTTGTTTTCCAAATTGAAAATCTTTCGGCGCATCTTCCTCCACGAACAACTCTTTCGTAATGAAGTCAAACTTTTGGATCACTCCATCGATATCTTCATTGAAAGCTGAAAGGCCCAAATCAGCTTTTACTCCCTCGGATTGGAGCTGAAGTTGATTCACTACACGAAAATCAAATAATTCTTCTGCTTCAAAGGCAACCTTAGGTATTTGCCTCCACAAACCATCGATTCTTTCGCCTTCTTTTTCTGAGTGAACTTCAACAAATTTCAACAAAGAGTTGACAATTTCCTGGAATGTTTCGATCTTTTTTATGTCCACGCGAAGATGACGAAGCTTGGCTCGGTAATGAATGTTATCAATGACATGAGTAAGAGAAACCAAATGTACAATAGAAAATATGTGTTCGAATAATTATTTGAATCCATGCTCAACAGTGAAAATTTATTTATTTATTTATTTCAGTTTCATAATCTTTTGAGATGGACAATGTACAACTCTATGGTGGATTCCTTTTGACTTTCGAGAATCAAATGCAAAACAATCTTCAATGCCTAAACCATCAAAACGAAAACATAGTGAAGAAGGAGGCCTTACCAGTCCAAAATTAATACCACCATTTCCCAATGCAACTAACAATATCAACTCAACATCGATAGTATGCCAAAATGGCTTTCAAAGCTTATGATAAAGACATTGTTATTATTTGAGAAATGTGCAATACATCAAGGTTATAGCAATTAATTAAATCGATACTCCATAGAATGTGATGTCTTGGCTTGCCGGTATTCACTGTGGACATGATGTCCTCCTGGTTCGCAAGCATCTTCGTTGTCCTTCAAGTGGATGAAGCGAGACAGATTGATTGTTCAAAACACTACAAAAAGAGTATCTACTTAGCTATAATATTTTTAACTACGAAATATTTTGTAGTTAAAACGTGTCATTTAGCTAAAAAAATTAATTTCATCACTAAAAATAAATTATGTACTACAAAATTAATTTGGTCGCTTAAATTTTTTTGCTAGAAAATTATATCCTCATAGCAAAAAGATTTTAGCTACAAAATTATTTTCATAGCGAAAATCACTTGGCTAAAAAAATTATACATATTTGGTCTTTTGTTATGTGTTCTAATTTTATAGAAAAAGAGTTTTAGCTACGAAATCATATTTTCGTAGCTATATCTCTTTTCTTAACTTTCATTATAAAAAACTTTTTTTTTTTTTTTTTTTTATGAAAGTCATGTTTGTCACCAAAACCTTTACTAACACGGTATAGGCGACAAAATGAGTTTCGTCGCAAAAATATTTTTACTATGAATTATTATATTTTGCTACGAAATTTTTTTGTAGCTAAATTTCAAATTTTTTGTAGTACTACCACAAAAGTGCTCATTTATCTCGAAAAATTGTCTCGGAAAAAAATTCTGAGAAAATCTTCTGTCACGAAACCTTTGTTCGAGACAAATTAGTGTGTCAACTATGATTTGAGACATTACCGCGATAAATTCTCTCAATCATAATCTCAAAATTTGTTTCGTAACAATTTATTGTTGCATATTTGTCTCGAAACACCACTGCGAGTAAACATTGTCTCAAAATAAATCACAAAAAATATTTTGAAAGTATGAATTGTAAACAAGTTACGAAAAATATTCCAAGACCATAAATTGTCTCAAAATAAATATAAAAAAAATAGTTCGAAAGTAAAAATCATCTTAAAATAATAAGTAACAAAAAATATTTTGAGAGTTTGAATTATCTCAACACCGAGTCACGAAATATGTTTCAAGAGTAAAAATTATCTTAAAATAAAAAACATAAAATATTTTGAAAGCTTGAATTATTTTGAAATAAGTCATAAAAAAATATTTCAAATATATGAATTAACTTTAAATAAGTGACTAAAATATTTACTTTTCGATCATTGTTAACCGGAAGTATAATCAATAATTTTTATTAACATTATAATTATTTTTTAATTAAATCTATTTATCTATAATAAAAAATTAAATTAAAATATAATCAAAACAATAACAAATATCTTATAATAAATATGAAAATATAAAAACTACAACTTTGACTAAAAAACTTCCCACTAATCTAATTTTTTGCTCCACAATCATAATTTCTTTCGTCCACATTCACATTTACTAACTCACATTGACATTTACCTACCTATTTATTTTCCACAATTATAAAATAGAACTTCTCCTCTGTTGGTAAGTTTGCATTGTATTTTGTTCTTTAATTTGTATATAATCATTTGTTTAGATGTTTTGTTTTTATTAATGTCTCCTTAAATTGTTTAGATAGTTTTTTAATTAGTTAGATAGGTATGTTTATCTTATTTGGATAGAAATTTGTGCAATTCTATATGTAATTTTTTATTTTCTACTTCTAAAAGAATAGCTGTTTGAAAACATATGACAATAATGTGTGATTTCTTGTGCAAATATTGTTTGAACGCACCTCTATCGCTATCAGACTAGTGGAAGCAAAGAAAGAATATGAAAAAATATCAGCATGGATCTCGGTAGCTCTATCAATTTTAGGTAAGAAAATTAGTAGGACAAATTATATTTCTTATTGGAGGAGATGTAGCTTTGATGAGAACTAAGGATTGAAGAACTTCACTCTGGATGGGGACATAATTTTCAGCCTTTTTTTTATATATGTATTATCATGAAAATTGTAGTTTGATTATAGTGTGCTTATGTGAAATACGATGTGATAATTTGTGATAGTAATTTTCTTTTAATCGATAATATGCACAAATTTTTAGTAGAAGTGTCATATAAAAAGGCCAACAAATATATTAATTAATTATATTGTATAAAATATAATCTTGCATTTTGTTAGAATTATTTTAAACGAAATAGTATAAAGTTTTGAATATTTTTACAGTTGTTTGATACAAATTATAGCCTAAAAAAGTATCACATTTGTTTGAGAGAAAAATATAATCTCGGATATTGTCAAGGACATTCGAGACAATATATTGTCTCGGATATTGTCCCGGATTTTCGAGATATATAACAATTGTTGAGACAAAATATACTTTCTTGGACATTGTCATGGTTCTTCGAGATAAAATATAGTCTCGACAAAGTTTGCGAGTATTTTCGAGACAATATATTGTCACAATATTTTCTCAGTCAATCTAACAAGAAAATTTGTCTCGGCTTTCTATTAACTATAATACTATAGAGTGCATGAAGTTAAGGCGATTCTGTGCATTTCGAACATGTTTAGTGCTAAATTTACATTATTTTAGAATTAAACTATTTAATATATTCTAAACTTCATTTTTAAAAATTAAAATTTCATTCCTTATTTTCAGTACTCAACTACTATTAAATGTAGGTGTATAAGTGTAATAAAAAGCTTAGTGTTATTATTGAATCTCCTTCCAAATGCCTGATCAGGTGCATTTAGCGTGTAGACTATGTAGGAGTAAACTTCCGAAAAACAATGAAGATATTTGGTATTGCAACATTTCTTGCAAGGTGATGTTATTCTATCGATCTTGTTAGCGCTATCTCTTTGAGATGAATTCAAAGTCATTTCTATAGTCATTAAATTTCTTTTTATATAATGCTAGTTGTTCTAATGCAAAACTTAATTACCACAGATAGAACAATATTTTGAAAAAGAAAAATCACAAACTTGTTAGTTCAATTGTATATAAAATGCACATAGGTTTCACCAATACATGCAAAATACACACTTGATCATACTTGCCTTTGTATCTATTCCATTGTATGGTTACTAACATTTGTGCATTTTTACTTATTTGGACTACATTTAATTTTAAAGTAAGTGTTTGATTAATTATTGAATCCATGCTCAATTGTTGAAGTTTTTAAAATTTGAATATTTTAGTTTCATAATCTTTTGAGGAGGGACAGTGTACAAATGCTTGTGCATGGAATTCAAGAATCGACTGTGGAGCAATCTTCAAGGTCTAAAACATCAAAACAAATGTGTAGTCGAAAAGGAGTGTGTCTCATGATCGTCCATGTCTCATGATTGACAAGACAAATCGTGTGCGTATTTGTTTTTGCATTATGTATGTACATGTTAGGATTTTAATAGAATTTTAAAATGAAAAGGCACACCATAACTCAAATTCAGTATAATAATAAAACAAGTAAATTTATTTTCTTGTAAAGTGAAAAGAAAATGACACCAATTAATAAACTTAAAAATAACAACTCAAATTCAATATAATAAT